CCTCCAAATAATGAATTCTGTTGAGCTCCATTTTTAGCAAAGAAACCTGGCAATGAACTATAGCAATCCTATTTTATTCATTTTGCTTCCCATAAATATCTGGAATCAGTACTGCAGATGATCTAAAAAGATCTTAGATTTAAAATTACACCCTAATATTTTAAGAACAACTAACAATATATTCTAAACAAAGGGTCCTTTAAAAGTACTGATTAAGTAGAACTATTAATAGCACCTATTACACAAATTCTAGGAAATAATTGAAAGATACAAGATAAAACGTAACTGAGGTAATATGTGTTATCAGTTAAATTAGGTATGCAGTATAAACTAAAGCCTCAGAGGATGTACTTTGGAACAACCATGGTAAGGTCAACGAAATTGCCGTGACTTATGCAACTACAGGTCTGCAGCAATTAAATGATAAGAAAAATAAAACAGTTTCATTAATTTTATCCAAATTGATAATAAATAAACACTACTTCGGTGTTCTGTTTGTCAACCCCTTTTCTACAGGTGTTTGTTTCTGTGTACAAACCCATCTCAGTACAGATTTACATCACTATGTCCTTAATCTTTTGAACTTATACAGAACCCTTGGCCTGGAATTATTCATATTCATGTCAACAATTGAATATGGCTCTCATGGGGGCTCTGGAGAAGCATTACAATCTACACAAATTTAGCTTTCCTCTGAACAGCAGTTCCTGTTGGGTGCCAGTAGTTTGGAATTTTGCTTACAGGCATGAGAGGGGATGCCAGCACTTCACCACAACAGCTGTAGCATAAAAATATTTTAGAGCATCTCTGCTGGTGGTCAAACACTGCAAGGGCTGCAGAATGAATGCCAGGGGTGTCTCTTCCAAGGCCAGGCTGGATGGGGCTTTGAGCAACCAAGTGGAAAGTGTTCCTGCCCAGGGCAGGGGGGGCAATGAGAGGAGCTTTACGGTCCTTTCCAACTCAAACCTTTCTGGGAGGCTCCTGACTTAAATACAATGTATGTCCAAATGTAATACAGTGGAGATCAAGACAGACAAACAGCCATGACTGGACAGCCCGAAGGATTACAGAACCCAGGATGAGAAGAGGTAAATATGCCCACAATAATGACTCTCTCTGCAGCCAGAGAACAGTCCTGCCCCTGCAGCAGGTTCTGACAAACACAATGACTCTTCTTCATTAATGTTCCATTATTACTTGGATGTTTTCCTTCCTAGCACACTCACTTTTAGTTTTGAAAAACAAACAAAAACCTACCCTAAATCTGAACAGGCAACCATTCAAAGTAATATATTTAGTTAACATTATGAAGCATAAAGAAATTTATGTTGAAACTCATAACCCCATACACTGAGTGAGCATTCTGACCACAGAATGAGCTTCTGCAAGGAATCAGAAACAAGTGTGATTCCTTTTTTCTCTTCCTTATTTCTTAGATTATATTTCAGGGACAGAGGGATCAGCTACTGACCCTTTTTACTATAAGTATTTCTTTTAAACAGGAGATGATTTAACATTTACTGTTGTGAAAGCTGCATTGCTATGGCAACCTTCTAAAAAAAAGGATCACTGTAGGTACATCACATACATATTGACATGCAAGCACTCACATGAGGTTTTTCTCGAAAAACAGAAAACTCTTCAGATTTTCTATTTTATTTACATGATTCAGGTACAGGTGGAATAGAATTAATCTGCTTTCTTGAATATTTACATTCTCATCTACCTACCTGCCTTAACCCTGTATGAACTCCAGCTGCATTTTAACTGAGCAACAGACACTGAACTGCTGGAGATGAAAGGAACATTTTGTTTTTTCCTCATGCAACTGTGCTGCAAACTACTCTAAATACTCCTTTAAGTATTTTTTTATTATTTTTATATGGCTATAATTGTTAAATACCAGCTTACTTATCAAATATATGTGCTTTATGTTCACATAAATGTTAAATACCAAAAGCCTGATTTGAGAATTGAAAAATATAGAAATGTTAAATGTTGAATCACTGCACATTACCTAAAAGAATGACTAACAACTCACATTCAACTGAACACCACTTATTTTTAGTTAATTTTATATCATATCAGTAATTTTCTTGTTCTGATACAAGCCTTTGCACCCATTTTACTGTCATGCTAACATTATTTATCCCATAGCTGGAGAATATAATCTTGAATTTATTTTTCATACCTTTTCTCAACTGAGTATTGACCTTCGTGATTTGTTTGTAAGAAAAGCTCAAGGAATAAATATACACATGTACAAACCACCTTTTCAGATTAGAAGCTATATTAACATACTATACTTAAGGTATCAGTGCATTTGCAATCAATAATTCAAAGTACGGGCACCCTTTAAAACCACTACATTCAAAATAACAGTGGACAGAAATAAATTTGAGTAATATTCAGATATAACACAGAAGCAGTAAGGAAGAACCCTGCCCAGGTTGAAGGGATTTGTGTTCTAGTTCCTGCTCCAAAAAACTGTGGAAGAATTTTATCAGAAGATTGCCTAAGGTAACAATTTCCAATTAATAAATGTGGGGCTTGCAGAATTACAGTTTTAGTAACAAGCACTTAAATTTCCTTCTATTGTTTTTGTGCTTAAAGTAGTTTTTTGGGGCACTCAAATATATCCCAGATGGATACCTAAACGAGGAATGAGTCTTTTGAGTTAAGAAAGCACTTCCCAAATTTCCAAACTAATGGCAGTAAACTTACAGAGGATGCTCAATGTGAAGCACGAAGGTCCCTTGGTTTAACTGTAAATCACTCAAGGATTTGTAGCTCGACCTCTGCAAGTTTTGTTTTTCAACAGGTTCAAATGGTTGATTTATAAATCAACACAATTTACATTTGCTAAAAGGAGCAACAGCTGGAACTGCTGCTGCTGTGCTGAGTGTTCCCCACAATAATGTATAAATAGAGAACTAAAACCAAACAACAGTTTGAATTTGTACAATTTGTGCAATTTCTGTTCAGATCAGGTTGAGAGATGAAAAAGAAAAAAGTCGCCTGGGAGCAGAGGAGGATGCTAAGTTAGTAATTATGTCTCTTGGTACCTCTTTTGTTTACTAATCAAAGGTCTAATTGCTTTGCTCTATTTTAATTAAAAATGTTCCTATTTTAATTACTTACTTTTCCTGCACACATTAGCACTGAGAGGAACCAGTGAGGGTATGAGTAATATGATGAAGAGTTTGAAATCAAGCTTTTAAGAATGTTTTAATGATTTCACAATTTTTTAATAATGAAAAATTAAGCTGTTCTTCATAAATGTGGCTACTACTTCTCCAAGGATTTCATACTAGCCAAAAAACCCCCAATCTTTTTTTAACTTAGAAAGTCAACTGATATCAAATATAATTAATAGAGGACATTAATAATAATATGTACTCTTTCCCATAAACTGCCAAAGTGGCACTGCCAGCTGAGATTCTGCAGAGGCCTGCTCTGAGTGTGCTTACTCCGAGTTGTAAAGGAAACAGAAAATCTACTCCTTAAACTTGAGGGAAACAGGAAAATGGAGAGGTCTGAAAAACACGGTGGCAGCTCATTGCAATCTGTTTGGAAAAAAATCAGGGTGGAATTTAGTAAGGACATATGCAAAGTGCTGAGCTCGGTAGGAGTAAATAATCAACTGTTCAAATACAGAATGCTCCAAGTTCAAATGGAGAAACAACTGGCAGTGTTTTCAGAAAAGAATGAGGGAACTTCAGGGGAAGTGGAACATGAATCAGTGTTACAGTGCAGCTTTACTGACAGCAATCACAATGGGATGGATAAAAACGAGCTGTGAAGCAATTCCTGTGCTGGCCAACCCGAATAGATGGCGAACCAGAATACTGTGGCCAGGTTTGATTATCACATATTTGATGGAGGAGGAAGGTTTACTGAAGATTCAGGAAAGCAGAAAAAAACCCATAAGAGATATACAGAAAATGTGAGTGACAAAAAAACCTGAGGGAATCTGATTATTTAACTCTGAAGGTGCCTCAGGAAGGCAAAGGGATGTAGTTTTCAGGAGAGCAGGAAGTAAATAAGGCAATGAGCTGCTCACCACTGTGCTGTGTACAGGACAAGAAGTGCTCCTGGCTACAGTTAAAAACTTCGTGAAGCATGGCTAAGAGATCACAATGGATAGGGCAGGGAAGCCTAATCAAAAAATAGGTGTTTATCAGAATATCATGTATCTGATTCCATCTTTAGGTGGCAAGGGAACAGGCTAATTCTTGAGGCCTTTTCCACACCGATATTCTGATGGCCAATCTTGTATTTCCATAATGCCACAGCATAAAGAATGTTTCAGGCAGAATACCTGCCACGGAATGACCTCTGGGAAGAGACAAATAGTACAGGTGGCACAGCCAAAACAGGGATGGAAGGCAACGGGAAACTCAGTCCTTGCAAGATTTGCATTGACTTTAGCCTTGTTTTGGTACACTTCTGTCAGCTGAGGGCAACTCCAGCATCTTCCTCTTCTTCAGTAGAAGGTCACGCTGCATTTACCAGCCAAACACAAGCTGGAATTTCAGTATCTAAATGCTACTGTCCTAGCACAGCAGCCAAAGAATGTTATGAATGCAATTACGAGCAGCTTAAAATGTATCTCAGAATTGGGTTTCCTAGAAAATCTTAATGAGCTATTCAAACCACATTTGGGAAACCTGTATTTGTAAAAATTACGCATTTTGCTGAAGTCACAGCCAACTTAAAGTGCCTGGGGAAGGAAGAGTCAACTACACATCAGCATTTTTGTCCTTGTGAATACTCACCTCCACTTGTCTTTCCTGGAGATGACTCCTGAGTGAGGGATGCTAACAAGATGCTGAGGAGCAAAGTTCATTCCTGGTGGCCTCTCTCCTAAGTTTTCCACAGCCTACAGAATCTCCTTGCGAGAAGTGATGGTATGAGCAAGATTCATTAAACATGTATCATCCCACCCTCTTCCCTCCACAAGCCCAAGCAAAACAAAACAAGACTGTGAAAGCACCCAACACCTTTGATATTTTTATTGTGCGTTTTTTTAAGTGCTTAAAGACGCCACATCAGGCTGTACCCATTGCGTTGTCCACAGGTAGTATGCCACATGTAAGAAGACAGGCAGACCCCCAAAAGCTTTCATATGCTGGCTCAAAGAGACACAAATTAGATAAAATAGTACTATCTCATTATACAGAAGGCAAACCATGGAAAGTATCTCCGACCACACAAAACAGAGGCAGGAACTGAAACAGACCTTCCAAAACTCTGTTTCATAAAAAATGCTGTGTGCCTTTGGCAACTTTAAAAAAGATTAAAAATTATATTAATCTAGTCAGGGATTGTCAACAGAAAAATATTATTTAGAAATAAGCTTTAAGAAGTTCCCAATTCTGAAAAATTTCAAGTGTAACTTTCAAACAAATAACAGGTACAATGGGAATAAACAAAACCCTTTTTCCTCCTTCAGTATAAATTGATTGCTGTATCAGTTTGTCATAGATTACTCTTCTTTCCTTCATATATAGATGCATACAAATTAATAAAGTTATTCTCAGAGGACGAAATCAAGCTGTCAAGGTCATAATCCACTTCAAATGTAGGTCTCTCTCCAAAAATTACAAGAGCAAGAAATACAGCAAAGTGTGCAGTAAGTCCCCATATCTTGAATGACTTTTTATGTTCCTGGTCATCATATATAAAGCAGTGCATCAGAGTTACGAAACCTGATGAGGTTTTATAAGACAAGGCCTTGTACTTTGAGGGCTTGATGAAGTACTCCAAAGGCACAACAAAAACCTCGCTCACTTCATCTGGATTAGGAGTGGCCTGGAATGTATCCTCTATAAATCCTACAACTGGTGTCACCAAATGATTCATCTAAAAGGAGAGAAAAAGAAACAATAAAAAACCCCTGTCAACAAAACCCTCAAGCACTAGGTTTGTACTAAGTAAATATGTTCTTTATTTTAAAAGCATATCAGCTGTTGCAAAATGAGCAAAGAAGCCTATGAACTATTCTTAACCGTAATGCAATTATAAGTCCCTCTAATGGCAAGCTATGTAATTTGATTTTAACAGTTTAAAATTACCTTTTTGTATTTGTTAAACATGATTTTACAAATATTCAGTTCATTCTGTATAATCATATTGCAGTTAAAAAGGCTTGTCACTCTGCTACAGAAATAAAAAGCATGCTTGCTTTCTCATGGGTCTTCCTTATTTTCTTCGTCAAATTCTGATTTTAATCTAAATTTTCCAAATCACCCATGCTTTATCATATTTCTGTATCTATTTTCCTAGGATATAGGAAATTTCCTAGAATATAGAAATATTTTCCCATAGATACAGAAATACGATTAGAGCATATCTAGCTATAGAACACATACACTTTTTGAAACCACCTAGTTATGGACATTTTAATTTTAAATGTAATCCCTTCTCCCACAGGGAGGCAAAATCTACTGAACTAGTAGTTTCCATCAAGAGCACACCAAAATTCGTTGAGATATGTTGCTAGCTTTATTTGTTCATGCTAACAAAGATCAGTAGAAAGGAGTAACACCAAAACAGCATTTGTGCTCTTCAGTGTAAGGCTGGAGAGACTCCACCCGAGTCAGAATCCCTGGAATTCTGTACAGAGTAGCTTCTGACAGGTAAAATTTCTGAGGTCCACAACCAACATGATCTTTTCTACTGACTGAGGCAATTTGCTGGAAAACACTGAAAATTTGATCATTTTTTACACAGAGCCCCTGAGCTACGTGACTTTAATGTTATCTGCACAGAAATTATAATTTAAGAAGTTTAAATAAAGCATTTTGCAATGAAATTTCAAAACCAGTTCTTTTGGTTTTTAATGGGGAGAAGATATTGCTAACAGATAGAAAAACAGAAAATATAGTAATAAGCTGTTACCTGGAGAACAAAAACAGTCTTTAGAAACAGCAGCCCCTCTGTGCTATGGGAAAACCCATCTTAGGCAACACTGAAGATTGTTATTGAAATTGGCAGCCTGTTAATTTATAAAAAGAGACCTACACTCCAAAGACACCTACGGGAGTCTCCCTGATGGAGTTTCCTGTGGAATCCCAATGCACAGCCCTGGTGTCAGCAGGACACTGAGCGAGAAACTTGTGAAGGTGTCAGCAGGACACTGAAGCCCTGTTATACAGCCTGTCAGGAGCATCTGCTCCGGTCTGGGGCTAACCTCATGGGAAAGAGTACTGCACCTTATCCAAACTTCCACACTGCTGCTGCTGTCCACTGTCTCAAGAAAAGTCTGGTATCATCCTCTCTACAATCACCCAGGAGAAGAGAACAGATAGATGCCCTGCTGGCTTTCAAGCTGAGCAAAGCCACGTCTCTCATCATCTCCTCGTAATCCATGTGCTCTAACACTCTTACTGCCTTCATGGCTCTCTGCTAAACTCTCACCAGCACAGCACTGTTGCTCTGGTACTCCAGAGCACCAACTGGTGCCCCAAGGCTGGTCTGACAAATACCAAACACAGAAAAAGAACCTCTTCCCTTGAGGAAGCAGGGGTTCTTGGTTTGAAAAGGTCACTCTCAACCCCGCAAAATAAAACAACCCAACCTATTTTCTGATTCTATGTTGACTTACCTTATCAATTCCAGGCATCAGCCTACAGATGACTTCCACCTTCTCTGGCTGGAGTCCCACTTCTTCTTTAGCTTCTCGGAGAGCAGTGGCAATTTCATCTTTATCACTGGCTTCACTTTTACCTCCTGGAAAACACACTTGCCCCGGTGATCTTCTCAGCTGGAGTGCAAAGGAGCATTACTGTTAAGTATAACAAGTTTTATATTTCTTCTTGGATCCTCACAGATACTTGTTGATATTGCAGCATCACTTTACGTTTAATTTACTGTTTCAGTCAAAGCTGATGAAAATGGTGGTTAAGGTTGCTGCAGATCAGAAGAAACATGCCTTAGCAAGAGCTACACAAGAAAAACCTGAGCCTATCCCCAACTGATCCATAAACCCTCACTCTCAAAAATACACTGTATCCGTACAGCGTTGTGTAATTAATTCTGCTTTAGTATGTCAAAGTTTACATTTTGCATCATCTTGTTTGTATAAGAAACTGACAGATGAACCCAGACAGACAGCTTGAATAGCAAGATTAAAATACTCCAAGTAAGAGCAAGAACTTCTGAAAGACATACTTAAATAATGTACTTTAAAGTACATTCCAGTTAGGCTTGTGCATCAAAGATCAGTAAAAGAATCACATTTTCAATGAGTTTATCAGCCACGTAACTGTAATTATTTGGATCTTTCTAAGCAAGACCCAAAGTATTTACTGCAGACTGAAAACTCTCATTAATAAAAGCTGCACTGCTCTGTCACTTTTCTTCTCGAAGTCACCGTAAACAATCATTTCCTTTCCTGCTCTGGGAATGATCTTTTCCTGTCACGGGTTTCCGGGGATCCGACATGTTTCTGGCACGAAAACACCATAATCACGGGGGCGTAAAAACACACGGTCATGCCCTTGGACACATGAGTCGAGAGGGGGCTGTGCAGACCCCAGGGGAGCGGGAGGGTCTAAACAGGGCTGTGCAGACCCCGGGGGAGCGGGAGGATCTGAACAGGGCTGTGCAGACCCCGGGGGAGCGGGAGGATCTGAACAGGGCTGTGCAGACCCCAGGGGAGCGGGAGGGTCTGAACAGGGCTGTGCAGACCCCAGGAGAGCGCACAGCGAGGGTTCCCCGGGCAGGACCGCGCCCCGCGGAGCCCCCCGGGCCGTACCTGCATGGAGCGCACTGTGAGCAGCAGGTGCAGCCGCCCCCCCCGCACCATCAGCGGCAGCAGCACGGCGGCTTTGGCCAGCGGCAGGCGGGAGAACTTGTCCCCGACATCGAACTCCCTCAAGCGGCGCCGGGCGTTCTCCTTAACCCCCTGCTCGGGGGCGAGCGGAGCGGAGCGCTGGGACCGCCCGGCCGTGCCCGGGCCGAGCGCTCGGTGCCCGTCCCGCTCCTCGTCCCGCTCCCCGTCCCGCTCCGCCGCCATCCCCGGCTCCCCCGCAGCGGCCGTGCCCGGCCCGCCGCCCCGCCCCGGCACCCACGGGCGGAGCCGCCCATCAGCACACCGCGGGCCCGTTCCCTTTCCCGCTCCCGGCCGTGTCCCTGTGCCGGGGCGCCATTCCCACTTGGCCCAGCGCGGGGCCCTATTGCCCTGGAAATGCGGCGCTGACGCCTCTCGGCTCCATCGAGCCAGTTCAGCCCCTGCGGGACTGCAGCAGCTCCCGGGGGCGGAGGGACGGGCCAAGTGCTGAATTTCTGCCCAAACATTTCCAGAATCACGGACTCACGGGATGTTAAGGGGTTGGAAGGGACCTCAAAGATCCTCTTGTTGCACCTCCCTGCCATGGGCAGGGACACCTGCCACTAGACCTGCCTGCTCAGTGCCCATCCAAGTTGGCTTTTTGGGATTTCCAGGTCTGGAGCATCCACAACCTCCCTGGGCAACCTGTGCCAGTGTCTCACCACCCTCACAGTAAAGAATTTCTTCCTAATATCTAAGCTACAAGTCGTCTCTTTCAATTTGTACCCATTACTCCTTATCCTGTCACTGCAGTTCCTGACAAAGAGTCCCTCTCCGGCTTCCCTGCAGGCCCCTCCAGGTACTGGAAGGTGCTATGAGGTCTCCACACAGCCTTCTCTTATGCCTGTTGCTGACATGGGCTGTCTTACCCAGCTGAGCTCTGGGACAGTGGCTGATGTTGGAAACAGAGCAATGGACAGTGGAGGCTGAACCTTCCAGGCCCAAGGAAAGCTGGACTGTAATAATTACTGAGGCAATGGTAGCGTTCCTCTCAGGCTATAGTTCAGGTAGGGAGTGCCCCAAGGCTCTCAGGGGATAACTGATCATTGCCACTCTTGTCCTTCAGCCCAGCCTTTAGCCAAGCAACTGGAGTTCCTGGTACAGTCAGTGCTGCTCCCACACGAGCCATGCAGAGTTCATGGTACGACCAAGGGACATTTCACCATCGCACCCACTACACAAAGACCAAGGAATGGGAATTCCTAAGAGAACAGAGCAGCCTGCGGAGGAATGGGGGTGATATCTGATCACACCTGCTTCCCTGGAGATGGCTGAGCCCCAGCTCACAACCAAGGACCACACAGCTCACTCCCCTCCTTGGAATGCACGAGAGAACTGGAAGAATATCAGTGAGAAAAAACTCATGCGCTGAAACACAGTTTATTAGGTAGATGAGGTAGAGGTGGGTTTTGGGTGTTGAAAAGTAACGGGGGAGGTCTCTGCTGAAGGCTGGGAAACCTTGAGCAGGAAGAAGTCATGACACAAAGGGTGTCACTCTCATTTTGATGATTGCACCTTCTTCTTGGGTTTGCTGCTCTGGGTTTCCCCTTTTGGCAGTGACGTAGTCCGTTTCTGATCAGTCTTCGGCAAGTAGCCTTCCCCCATCACAGACACTGATGGGCTCTTCTGAGGTGACTTCAGGTTAGGAAGACTAGGAAGAAAGGGACTGGTATTAGCCAGACAAACATTTCCAGCCAGGCAGCTTCTTGCCTGCCTCCTCACAGAGCACACAGTGTTGCATCGGAAGCAAATGAAACAGAACTGCATTCCCTGCCACGGAGGCAGCAGAGGGGGAAGGGCAGAAACACAACCAANGACCCCGGGGGAGCGGGAGGATCTGAACAGGGCTGTGCAGACCCCGGGGGAGCGGGAGGGTCGGGAAGGGGCTGTGCAGACCCCAGGAGAGCGCACAGCGAGAGTTCCCCGGGCAGGACCGCGCCCCGCGGAGCCCCCCGGGCCGTACCTGCATGGAGCGCACTGTGAGCAGCAGGTGCAGCCGCCCCCCCCGCACCATCAGCGGCAGCAGCACGGCAGCTTTGGCCAGCGGCAGGCGGGAGAACTTGTCCCCGACATCGAACTCCCTCAAGCGGCGCCGGGCCTTCTCCTTGACCCCCTGCTCGGGGGCGAGCGGAGCGGAGCGCTGGGACCGCCCGGCCGTGCCCGGGCCGAGCGCTCGGTGCCCGTCCCGCTCCCCGTCCCGCTCCGCCGCCATCCCCGGCTCCCCCGCAGCGGCCGTGCCCGGCCCGCCGCCCCGCCCCGGCACCCACGGGCGGAGCCGCCCATCAGCACACCGCGGGCCCGTTCCCTTTCCCGCTCCCGGCCGTGTCCCTGTGCCGGGGCGCCATTCCCACTTGGCCCAGCGCGGGGCCCCATTGCCCTGGAAATGCGGCGCTGACGCCTCTCGGCTCCATCGAGCCAGTTCAGCCCCGGCGGGACTGCAGCAGCTCCCGGGGGCGGAGGGACGGGCCAAGTGCTGCATTTCTGCCCAAACATTTCCAGACTCACGGACTCACGGGATGTTAAGGGGTTGGAAGGGACCTCAAAGATCCTCTTGTTGCACCTCCCTGCCATGGGCAGGGACACCTGCCACTAGACCTGCCTGCTCAGTGCCCATCCAAGTTGGCATTTTGGGATTTCCAGGTCTGGAGCATCCACAACCTCCCTGGGCAACCTGTGCCAGTGTCTCACCACCCTCACAGTAAAGAATTTCTTCCTAATATCTAAGCTACAAGTCGTCTCTTTCAATTTGCACCCATTACTCCTTATCCTGTCACTGCAGTTCCTGACAAAGAGTCCCTCTCTGGCTTCCCTGCAGGCCCCTCCAGGTACTGGAAGGTGCTATGAGGTCTCCACACAGCCTTCTCTTATGCCTGTTGCTGACATGGGCTGTCTTACCCAGCTGAGCTCTGGGACAGTGGCTGATGTTGGAAATGGAGCAATGGACAGTGGAGGCTGAACCTCCCAGTCCCAAGGAAAGCTGGACTGTAATAATTACTGAGGCAATGGTAGCGCTCCTCTCAGGCTATGGTTCAGGTAGGGAGTGCCCCAAGGCTCTCAGGGGATAACTGATCATTGCCACTCTTGTCCTTCAGCCCAGCCTTTAGCCAAGCAACTGGAGTTCCTGGTACAGTCAGTGCTGCTCCCACACGAGCCATGCAGAGTTCATGGTACGACCAAGGGACATTTCACCATCGCACCCACTACACAAAGACCAAGGAATGGGAATTCCTAAGAGAGCAGAGCAGCCTGCTGAGGAATGGGGGTGATATCTGATCACACCTGCTTTCCTGGAGATGGCTGAGCCCCAGCTCACAACCAAGGACCACACAGCTCACTCCCCTCCTTGGAATGCACGAGAGAACTGGAAGAATATCAGTGAGAAAAAACTCGTGCGCTGAAACACAGTTTATTAGGTAGATGAGGTAGAGGTGGGTTTTGGGCGTTGAAAAGTAACGGGGGAGGTCTCTGCTGAAGGCTGGGAAACCTTGAGCAGGAAGAAGTCATGACACAAAGGGTGTCACTCTCATTTTGATGATTGCACCTTCTTCTTGGGTTTGCTGCTCTGGGTTTCCCCTTTTGGCAGTGACGTAGTCCGTTTCTGATCAGTCTTCAGCAAGTAGCCTTCCCCCATCACAGACACTGATGGGCTCTTCTGAGGTGACTTCAGGTTAGGAAGACTAGGAAGAAAGGGACTGGTATTAGCCAGACAAACATTTCCAGCCAGGCAGCTTCTTGCCTGCCTCCTCACAGAGCACACAGTGTTGCATCGGAAGCAAATGAAACAGAACTGCATTCCCTGCCACGGAGGCAGCAGAGGGGGAAGGGCAGAAACACAA